AGGTTTATTTGCCTTCTGAAAAATTCATTGAGCTGTCTACTTAAAATATGTGTACTTTTCTGTATATAGAACTTTCTTTTAAAAGGCAGTTTTACACACAGATACACAAATGCAGTCAAAATCCTTGTCATAAGAAAATAGGAAAATACTAAGGATTCTGAGACAATTCATTTAAATAATCAAATTTTGAACTCAATAGATTTTGTATACCCTTCCAGATTTTCTTTATGCAAATATTTTCTTTATGCTTATATTTGCATAAAGAAAATCTGGAAGGGTATACAAAATCTATTGTATATATTGTATAAATCTATTGTATAAATCTAGATATATTTATATTTTGATTCCCCTCTCTTAACACAAAAAGTAGTTTATAATACATTGTTTGAATTCTGCTCTTTTCAAATAACAACGTATGTTTGAAAACTTCCAAATCTGCACATAGCGAACATCCTTTCTTTTTTTAAAGTTGTATAGATAGGCTACAGATCATTTAACAAGTACCCTATGGGTAGACATTAAGGGTGTTTCCAAAAGTTTGCTACTACAAAAAAAATAAATTAAATAAAATAAAAACTCATATACATATGTTATATCATAAATACACATGCATATATGTAATAAACTCCCACAACTGGTTTTAGGGTTATATCACTTTGAGCTTCCACCACATACTGATCTCAAATGTCTCCTAGAAAAAGCTATGACTCGCTTTGGGCCTCTCAGATATTTTGTTCATAAGGCAAATTCTGAAATATGTTCTCATTGCAAAAACCTACATTAAGACCTTTATTTTTCCCTAAATGCAAATGTAAAATTTGTTGAGTTAATAAGTTTGAGGAGAAATGAATTGTCATTTAAAAACACCTCACTGGTATAGGAAATCATCATAGTGATATCTATTGTCCTGGGTAGTAATTGTCCATCTTCCCCAAATCTTCTGTCATCTAGCAAACACTCTTTACCCAGGTTTTTTTTAAATTCACATTCAATCCTATTTAATAGAGAGGGAATATGCTAATTGACCCTCATACCATCACAAAGATGGTGGTGCCCACAGCCAATAAGGAGGGAATATGCTAATTAGCTGCCCTGTCCCCAAAGATTGCAGCGCCCACAACCAATAAGAAGGGAAGATGTTAACTGATTGCCATGCCCTCAAAGATGGTGGCGCCCAATCCCCTCAGCCCCACTGGGGCACCTGCCTCTGAAGTCCCCCATTCACCTTAGCCCCCTAGCCACCAGGGCCAGTATGAAGCACAGGCAAGCCTTGGAAGGCGGCTGCCCAGTCTACCAGGGCTGCCCAAGGCACAGGTAATCAGAGCCAGCCAAGGATTGCGCTGCTGGCAGTGGTGTGATGGGTTATTGCCTTCCCCTGATCGTCAGGTTGGCTCTCACCCCTAAGGACGCTCCGACTGTGAGAGGGGGCAGGAGGGGCTGAAGGACCCCACACTCCAGTGCATGAATTTTCATGCACCGGGCTTCTAGTAGTTTATAATTGGGTGAACAGTCAAATGCATTTCACTTTTAAATGACTGTTTTTCTGAAGCACAATTTTATTTTCTTGGTCTATATTTCAAATTTTTATTGCAATTTTTAATAATAAAGAAACAAGTTAGTATACATAATTCTCCATAATCCCAATTAAGAGTAGATTTCACAAGTTTTCCCAATGGCTATTAAAAAAGGATCAGGCTTTTAAAGAGTATAAGATCAGTTATCCTGTTAAATCTTTGCTTAGCTCAATGTTGTTTCTGTCATTTCCTTCTTTTTAAGGGGATGTATGATTACTTCAAAAAAAATCTACATTACATCCAGGCAATAATTTTATTCAGGCTGCACTCCAAAATATGTAAGATTCTAGCTCAAAAGGAAGAAGAAAAACACTTTTTACTCTCACAATTTGAAAACAATTTTGGGAGCATCTATGTATGCATGCAGTGTGAGGGTTCATGATAAAGTGGACAGACATGCCGAAACCGGTTTGGCTCAGTGGAGAGAGTGTTGGCCTGCGGACTGAGGGGTCCCGGGTTCGATTCTGGTCAAGGGCATGTACATTGGTTGTGGGCACATCCCCGATAGGGATGTGCAGGAGGCAGCTGGTCGGTGTTTCTCTCTCATCGATGTTTCTAGCTCTCTATCCCTCTCCTTTCCTCTCTGTAAAAAATCAATAAAATATATATTTTTTTTTTAAAAAGTGGACAGACATGACACTTGAGGTCCAACACAATGTCATTCTTTGTAAGAATCATTCACTGTGTGTACTATTAATAGAAAACATGATAGCTGGATTATGGGATGAATATACAAAACAAGTTATCCTTACAGCCCACTGTATGAAATGTAACATAGGGCGACTCACTTAAAATAGACCCTATAATGCCTAATTTAAATTATACTGAAGCTGTTGGAAAACCAACAATACAAAGAATTTAGTTTATTACAAAAAGATAGCAACAAGAATTAAATTACAAACATATATATAGACTCATATACAATTTTAGATACCCTCAAAGGTCCATCATCTACAAGCAATGTATGTAGGTTATAATTTTTAGATGCCGTTAAACAGGAAACAGACAATGAAAATCAGAAGCAAGTCTATCAGCATTTTCATCATATTCCAGATATCAACACAATGACAATGGTATTACTCATTATGACAGAGTTGCTTTTGTCGTATACTATTTTATGTGTGTGTGTGAATGCAGCCAAGGATTCTCCTCCAATTATCCAGTTCCTTGTCCATCTATTAAGTGCCAACTTTAAAAAATTAGTGTCCAGCAGGTAGCAGCATTAGGATATTCATAAAACTTAACTTAAACACGAACCAGACAAGACTAATGAAGAAAAGAGGCCACTTACCATAGGGCTGTTCTACAACACATTCAAAGTTTAGAGTTGTTGCAGGGCTTCCAGGGGAAAAAAAGCATCTAACGCATCTCAAAGCCTATGTGGGTGACACATGGTTTCAGGATTTCTAAAGCATAAAATCAAAATTACATTAGTTGAAGGCTTTTCTCAGCCATGTTCTAGTAATAAGGCAAATAAAGCATCACACTATCACCCTTAGAAAACCAAAGGGTAAATAGAGTAGGAGACAAGAGAATAGGGAGTAAAAATAACATGTAAAAAAATCAGTATTTAAGAGCAACAAACAGAACCTGCCAAAGAGTTTTAATGGGTCACTGAGATTTAAAACAATTCAATGGCAAGAACTGCAATGCGGTTTGGTTGTATTTTAAAAGTAGCATACATCACTGTCAAAACCAGTCATAACTTTGTAATACAGGTAAAAATAACATGTAAAAAAAATCAGTATTTAAGAGCAACAAAAATATCCAAAATGTTTCTATTTGATATTAAAATGCTTTGCCACTTTTTGTTTTGCTCTTCTTAGTAGTTAGTTACTACAGGACAAAATTTGTACATATTGCTCAATGTATTCAAGTGGTGTTCTGTTTTCTAAAGTTAATCTTCTCTTCCCCAAATAAGAACATTTTTACTTCTGTAGGCCTAAAAATGACAAGATTAGGCCTAAGCAAAGAATAAGCACTTAACAGCTATTTACTGAATGATTATATATATATATATATATATATATATATATATATATGCAAAAGATCCAAAATAAAAACATCTAAACCTCATCAAAGTTTCCAGATGATATAGCTGAATTGCAACATGAGTGGTTTTTTTCCCCCTGAACATTTTTCTTTAAAAACAAACAAAAAATCCTGAAAAATAAAAGATCTCCCCAAATGAAAAACTCCAGTCACTACTCAGCAATAGGTACTAATTTTAATGTATCAAACAGAATCTGCCAAAGAGTTTTAATGGGTCACTGAGATTTAAAACAATTCAATGGCAAGAACTGCAATGCGGTTTGGTTGTATTTTAAAAGTAGCATACATCACTGTCAAAACCAGTCATAACTTTGTAGTACAGGCATGATTTGGGAAGACTTTTATAGTTTAAACTTGTCAATCATGAAGGCTTTTAAAAATCACTTACCCAACACACACACACACACAGTTTTAGGAAAAAATTTAAATGGAAAGATGCAGCTCTAAGTTATATTTTCCCCACGCACAAAATTCCTATTCTAATAAGAAAGCTCTCATTTCAAGTTCACAAATCACTAGAAAAATAAAGTACATACACATTTCATTCTTATCATTCTTTTTGGAAGAATACCTCAAGTATTTTGTTATTTGAAGATGCCTTAACAGCAAACGACAATTAAATGTGTGAACAAGGTTGTCAGAGTAACACTTGTCATTCATACCACCTATGGGAAGGGTCTCCAAGACTTTCAGAAGCACTCATTAAAATTATCGAAAGCTTGTCACGGGGGCAAGAGAAGCACATGCTGTCATTTGCTCTTTGAATCAGAGGGAAACCAAATCGGTTCAAAGCTCAAGAGTTTTCCCTCCAAGGTCTAAATCTAACCCACCTATCCCTGACACACTGAGCTCAGATGCTCAGCAAGCAATTCATTAAGGTGAGTTCCGATTCTCAACCATTAAAAAAATAATAATAATAATAATAAATGACTTCAGGTGAAGACAAAGCATTTTCGATCAGATATCCGAAGAGGAAGGGGCGGGGAAATGTTATCTTTCCTCTTTGTGAAAAGTCCCACTGGCAGTTGTTTGTTATATCGCTCCACCAATCGTTTCTGTAATTAAACGTGAACGAAGACACTCAACAGGAGAGCAAAAGTTGTAGATTACCCACCTCTAGCCCCAAAGAGCCCCGCCAGGCTCTCTCACCCAGCACTCAGGCGGGCCTGTCTCACCTGGGTCCCGCAGACATCCGCCGTCCTCACGTACAGAGCACTTGTCAGCAATACGCCTTGCTATTGGTTGACTTGAGGCGGAACTCCAGCTTCTATTGGTTACGAGAGCCTGCAGGAGGCGGGAGTTTGGGGCTGGCTCTGATAGGCCCGCTACTCGCGTTCCCAGAGTTCCTATTGGGTCTACGCGGGAAGCGCCAAGATGGCGGCAATGGGGACCAGCGGCCCCGGCGCCTGGAGTCCCGGGTCCGCGGCGGCGGCGGCGGCGGCCAGCAAACACACCGTCACCAGCTTCCAGAGAAGGGGTCCTAGAGCCAGCGGCGCCGAGAGCGGCGGCTCCCGACTGGTGTCCATCGCAGGCACACGACCGTCGGTGCGGAACGGGCAGCTGCTGGTATCAACCGGGCTCCCAGCCCTGGACCAGCTCTTAGGTCGGTTCAGAACGGAGATCTTAGGCTCGACCGAGGGAACACAAGGGAGGGGACTTGTTGGGGGGACTCTCCTGACCCCACGTCTCTGTGGAGAGAGAGAGAGCCTGGTCTTATAGAGATGGAGGGAGCAGTGGTTGCAGGGAGACCCCTAAATGCTGTTACCTAGACCTGTCCTCATGCTCCACTTTTTACTCGGGCTCCTGCCCCCCAGCCTTGTGCTAGACTGCGATCGGATCCCTTCGTGCTGTTTCCTGGGTTAAGGGAGATGTCTCATGTTTGGAGACAGGTTGGCCGTCCTCTCTAGGATCTTCTCCAGGTCTCTGAGTTTATCCTAACGCCATCCTCAGATTAGTTCATGGTTTGGGTTAACCTGCCAAAGTTAGCATCGTTAGAAAAATACTTAAAAAAAAAAAAAATTAACCTCCCGTCTTTCATTGCCAGGCTGCTCACCTCTGGGTTCTCAATCTTTAAACAAACCAAGAAGGCTTTAAAAGAATGGATTAAAGGTTTATGTAGATGCCATATAGTTCCCTACACAGCCTATCCTTGAAGCTGACAAGTCACGCCCGTGTCTGCTGCATTAAATACACGTATATTTTTGTTATAATTATATTATATTATTTAAAAAAATTATAAATTTTCCCCTCTATTAACTCATTTTAACGAGTAAAAGAAGGGCAGTTCTTAGGCGTTAATCTCTGGAACAGTTCATAACAAGCCTGCCCTGAAGATGTTTGTTTTGTAACCGTGACACTGAAAGGATTGACCCGATTAGATTGGTAGGACAGAACTGCTATGTTAAGAAAGGTTGTAAATTAGTTAATTCCTAACTGAATGCTACTTCATTAAAAGAAGATTTATGTTTGTATGTCATGACTTTTTTAAGAGTATGTGATGTGTGGCCAGTTAAATCTTGTACACTTCCATAAAATTCTAGAAATGCCATTGCTTGTCCTTGTACTGCACTTGACATTTTTCTCTGTTGTAATCCCCTTATCCCTAGTCCCCAGCCCCACCCTGCAAGGTTTAATGTAAAGGAAAGTGTCAAGTTAAGCAACCTGTGAGAAAGGACATGGTTTTTTGCCTCTGTTATTTCGTGTCCTAAACTGGATCTTAGTTATTTCTACAGAAGTCTAAGTATTTTTACTTAATTTGTTTCAAGTCTGTTGCCTTCCTAAATTGCATGGTGCTATAAACAAAAATGATTCAGAATATCTAGTTAGCAAGTATTTATCTCACCTTTTTTTTTTTTAATCCTTGCAACCTTACTTGCATGTGATCCTATAGTTGAACTTAAAACTTGGAAGCTGTTTTCCAATTTAAGTTTAAATATAGGATCTCACCAAGTGTGTTTTTATATATATAAATATATGTTATAAGTGATTATATTATTAATTCAATTGGGATATATAATTTTACTCACTTGATCCTGAAACTCTCCAAACAAAAAGGTCACATTTCTGATGTTGTATCATTAGAGGAACAAAATGTGCCTCGCCCAGTTCTGTCACTTGGTAGATTCTCAAAAAAAACCCACAAACAACAACAACAACAAAAAAACAAACAGCAAAGAACCTGGACAAGAACTTCTGAAACATGTAAAATGAAGCTCAAAACACAGACTTAGAAATGAAGTTACATGAACAGAGCCAGGAAACCATTACAGCCTGGGCTGATCTTTAGGCTCCAGATTTAGTGCTCTGCAAACGCATTTCAAATTTTTAAGAACTCTTTTTCAAGTGTTTTTAACCATTTATTGAACCTGAGACTAGTGATTTAACTCTAGTCCCTGGAAGCACCCCACCAATAAGGTAACTCAAGGCAACTTCTTCATGTGTTTCTACAATGATATAAATTTGAACTCTAATTTCAAAATTTTCCAGATATGCTTGGGGATAAGGACTCTAGTATTTGACTGTAACAAGCTTATGCTAAAAAGTAGTGTTCCTTAAGATGATTGAAATGAGTATCAGTTTTTAGATATTTTGAAATTTTTTTATGTGTGTATAGTTAATTCTCAATGTACAAAGGAATGGAAGAAGTTGTTATTATAGGAATTACTACATTTGGAATAATAATATGTGCAGAAGTATATTTTGTATTTTCATGTTCTATTTGTATGCCCCATGTGGAGCAAACCCATTACATTTGTTTTTCATTAAAACATTATTTGAAAGTGAAACATTTGGCTGCTAATGTGTATATACATAGGTATAAGCAATTCAGATTATGTTGTTTCTCACATGTTATTTGACTGGGATTCTGACAAGCATAATATGACCATACTGTGACAAAATGTAATGATAGTAGGATGCTTTATCAGGATGATGAAACTATACTGTGACATTGTATTGTTGCCTAAATATATTCAGTAATTACTTGGTAACAAGTAAATACTGTATTGTTATTGCCAGTAACATTTTACTGTTGCCACTGTGACATCATTCTTTTAAGCAGAGATGCAAAATATACTTAAAATACTAATGAAGAAATATGCTCATATAGGCTAATTAAGTAATATTCTCAAATTTCCATTGCCTACTCCAAAAGCAAAATGTTTCATACATTTGAGAATTCCTTATATATGCATCTTTTAAACATGATCTAACGATACTAAATATTTTTGTTCTGACAACTGAATTTTATTGTTTTACTGATAGACATTTCCCAAGTGGGCTACACATAAATTTTTCAGGTTCAGAGATTTCCTAATCTAGTTCTCAACCCTACCCTTTCAGGAAATTTGTTGTTATTTGGTGATACTATATGTAAATATTCCATTTGTCTTTTCCAGAACATCCAAAGAGAGGTTATAGTAGGTAAAAGATTCTAGCAGAATTTATTTTATCCTAGCATATAAAGTGTAGTCCATTTGAGGGCCGTATTATTGAGTCTGTAGGAACTATTCCCCAACCTCATTCTTCAAAAAGATACTTGAAGGAAAGGTGACTTCAGGCTTGACTGGGTTAACTTCTTTGCTGTTTAGGAATTATTACATTTTGACTGTCAGGTGAATGACAGATAGGAATTAGGGGTAAATAGTAATCCAGGAAGAGTATTCCAAAGAAGTTTGATGTAGCTGCCATTTTCAACACCGTTGTCAAAAGATAAATAAATACTAGTGGGCTTATTTCCTTTGCTCCACTATATCAATCTAGAGTCTAGACTGTGGGAGCTGTTCATTGAGTTTGGACTCAATAAAATAATCCTGGTTATGATATTTTAGCAACTAAAAGCTGTAACTTGTTTTTTTTTGTTTGTTTGTTTGTTTTAAAGTATATATATATGAAGAGGGATAGAGAGTTAGAAACATTGATCAGCTGCCTCCTGCACTCCCCCTACTGGGGATGTGCCTGCAACCAAGGTACATGCCCTTGACCTGAATTGAACCTGAGACCCTTCAGTCCACAGACCAACGCTCTATCACTGAGCCAAACCAGTTTCGGTAGCTTGTTCCTTTTTTAATGTAAAATTGTTTCATGTGATCTAATCAATATAACCATCGTCACTGTTCCTAGCTTTTTCTATTTTAAATCCTATATTTGCCCAGCCAATAATTGTTATAATAAAGAGTTGTCAGGATGTCTTAAACTCCTCAAGAGAGAGAAGAAAAAGTAGATTTATTATAAATGAAATAACTGCAATTTAATTTGAGGTGTGACATTAAATATTTTATTGCTATGAACTAAGAAAAGTATATGTACTTGTTTTTAACATTGCATTTTCTCTAAAATGCCTTTCTATTCTTTTAAGCTAAACTTATTTAATAGAGAGCACTTAAAAGGACTTGTTTAGTTCACTGTTATTTTTTCTGGGTGTTTTTCCTTTCCCTTTTATTTTCTCTAACTTTGAAAAGGGAGATACCGTTGATGTTAAATAAGGGATCACTTCTGGGCCCTCATGTTGTAATATATTAACTTGATGTTATTTACCCAAAATTTATAGCGTAATTAATGATTTGTTTTGGGAAGTGTGGGGATTGGATATTCTTTCTTTAAAATAATATTGATTTAATATATTGTAACTTCACACCAATTTTTTTTTTTAAAATCCTTTCCCTTGTATTTTAAAAATCATTAGGAAAATGGCACTTAATCACAAGATCTTAAATTTTCTTTAATGTTTTCTAAAGCATTAGATTTTTTTAGTTTTAAGACAAAATGTGTCATTTTTAAATATAAAATCTTGATGAAATTAATACATTAAAATATCATGCTTGCAAACTCATGTAATCTTAAATGTGGGGTATGATATTTTACTGCCTGTGTTTTTAATAAGCTGGAGATAAATATACTTCTTAAAAAGGTCTAGAAGTAAAACCAAGTGTTTATTTGCCTATAGACGTAGAAAGTGTCTTTATATTCCTACAAGATACAATTAAAAGAAGACCATTTTACTTCATTGTATGTTTTATAAAGATATTATAATTGCTTACTTACCTGTCAAACATTTTAGGGATTACTGATTTTAAAAGATATATTAAAAGCTAGGTTTGGTTGAATATATTGTCAAGCTTTCAAATTTTTGGTGGGAACATAATTACAAACTTATTCAAACTTTATTTTGGCAAGCTGCAGTGGCTTAGTGGTTGAGCATTGAACTATGAACCAGGAGGTCCTGGTTCAATTCCTGGTCAGGGTGGGCTTGGTCCTCAGGGAGGGGTATTTAGGAGGCAGCCAATCAAAGATTCTCTCCCATCATTGATATCTATCATTCCCTCTTCCTTCTTTGGAACCAATAAAAGTATTTTTAAAAACTCTTAAGATACAGCTAGAACTTCAGCATATCAAATGAGGTATATCAAAATACCTTATACATGGTTATTTTGGGAAAATTTGAGGTCTGCCACACTAAAATTTGGAAGACTAGATAAACTGATACTGAGTGTGTGTATAAGTACATCAGATGCATAGAATAAAAGCTTGAATCAAAATCATTAATCATTACTAGAGCCAATCTTAATTTGAGTAGTTAATTTACATAATAAAAAACTTAATTACTTTTATAAGAAGTCTTGGTGGGATATTAATTTGGTTGATAAAAGTCATTGAAATGTCCCCATTCTGTGGTGTTTTAAGTAATGCTGAACTTACCAAAGATTATAATTTTAATGTACATGAGATTTTTTAAATGAGGGGTGTTTTTTGAATTATCAGGAACAGTAGCTTGTATCTTCTTATAGAAAATTACCTCCATAGCATAGTCATTTACTGTTATGATGATCTATATATATAATCTACACTGAGTGGCCAGATTATTATGATCTCTGAACGCATAATAATCTGGCCACTAGGTGTACTTATGTATAAGGGAAATCTTGCAAATCTTGATATGTCAAGGGACCAGGAGATAGTGGCCCCAGCCTCTGGCTAGTAAGTCCTCTGCTTCTTTCTAACTAACCACAATGCAGTTCTTATACATGGAAAAACCTTATTTTAAAATCCCAACTCTGTGGTCAGTCTACACTGAGTGGCCAGATTATTATGCTTTCAGAGATCATAATAATCTGGCCACTCAAAATATTTGTATTTTGAGGCCCGGTGCATCAATTCGTGCATGGGTGGGTTTTGGCCAGCCTGGCCAGGGAGAAGGGGACATGGGCAGTTGGTTGGTTGGCCAGCCTGCTGGTTGAACTCCTGGTCCAGGGGACAATTTGCATATTAGCCTTTTATTATATAGGATATACACTGAGTGGCCAGATTATTATGTGTTCAGAGATCATAATAATCTGGCCATTCAGTGTATATAATAGAGAAATATGCTAATTAACTGGGATGTCATAATGGGCCAACTGAACGGGAGGAGGTTGTATGTGCAATGTTGGGGGCGGGCGGCAGGGGCCTTCACCTCCCTGTGCTGGAGGTGGGCCTGATCAGCAGCGACTGCAGCTGCTTCAAGGGCCGGAGAGGGAGGCAGGGCCAGACCAGCAGTGACCCCAGCTGCTGCAGGGCCCGGGGTGCGAGGCAGGGCAGGACCAGCAACTGGAGGGTAAGCAGCACCATGCAATTTCAAATCGCATGCTAGGCTCCTCGTCTTTTATAAAGCAACAATGTATTTTCAGTGATTTGTTCTAATCAGAAAAAAATATCCAGAATGGCAAGGGTAGCTCTTACTGAGTACCTCTCTGAGCCAGAAACCTGAGCTACGTATCACTTCATTTAATTGGGAGACTATTCCTTGATCTGTTCTTATCATCTCACTGTGAATAACATTCACAAAATATCTTTAATTTTCTAAGTATTCCTTTACATGAAGCCTGGAAGCTTTGTATAAATTCCTAACTTGAGAAGATATGAATGTAGACCCAGGAACTTTGAGATAAATTTAAATTCTTCCTATGAGATATTAGTTAAGGAAAGAAAGGCAACTATCTTTTTATAGTACCCACTTAAGACTAGCCCACTAGATTTGAGTGACCCCAAAACACATTTTATTTGTGTGTGTTGTTATTTTTTACCAAATTTATTGGGATGATAATTGGTTTTAAAAATGATATAGACTTTAGGTATACGCCATCTATATATTCTATTGTATGTTCCCCACTCCAAATCAAGTCTCCTTGCATCACCATTTATCCCCTCTACTAGAGGCCAATGCATGACATTCGTGCACTTATTGTGGGGCGGGGGGAGGGGGTCCCCTCAACCTGGCCTGCGCTCTCTTGAGACAGGCCTAAATCAGCAGTCGGACATCCCTCAAGGGGTCCTTAGCGTTGCTGCAGAGGCGAAAGAGGCTCCCACCATCCCTGTGCTTGCCAGCTATGAGCCTGGGGCTTCTGGTTGATAGCCGCTCCCCCTGTGGGAGCACACTGACCACCAGGGGGCAGCTCCTGCATTGAGTATCTGCCCCCTGGTGATCAATGAACCCCATAACGACCAGTCATTCCACTGTTCGGTCAATTTGCACATTAGACTTTTATTATATAGGATACCCTCTTCTACCTCCCCTAACCCCTGAGAAGTTTCTTTTTAAATTATACTTTAAGTACATGCCATATTTTTATTTTTAAGTAACCTTGTGTTTGCAACATTAATTACAAGTAATACTTTACAAATGTTTTGATAATAAAATAGTAATTGAATGTTCTATTTTTTAGTGTAGTTCTAGTTTCCTAAAACTTGATTTTAAATTGATTTTTTTATTAATCTTATTTGAGTTATATGTTCATCATCATATTATCCTAATTCAGATACTTAACATTTTCTAGTTATATTGAAATTTTATTTTTTGTTTGAAATGACAAATAAAATATTTATTTTAAATCCTAATAAATTTACAGAATGTCCAGACTTTATGTATATTATTTATAATGAAAAAAGAATCTTTTAATTATCAGAATTTTTTCTCCAAGGATTATTAAATATGAGGATAAATATTAAAGTGGAATTTATTTTCTTTGGTAGTTAAGTTACTGTGCACATTTAGGTCTTGGTTATTGAGTTAATTTATTAACAAGTGCTAAATATAACATTATTGAAATGCTTAACCACTGTTATGTTGAATGCTGCATGGCCCTATCAAGAGAATGGAGGATAGTACAGTATACTGTGAAAGTAATTGTAATGTGTAGTGTGTAATTACATATAATATGTAATTATTTCATAATAGCACCTTAAGCAAAGTATTGCAAAAGTGATTAAAATGTTGTTTTCAACAGCAATTTTAAAGTTATTGGAAATCTGTCCTTAGTAAAGTCTAACTTGTATGCTAATAGTAATGTGAAAACGTAGATTAATTTTCTTATTTTGTTTTATTTCCAGGTGGAGGTTTGGCTGTTGGAACAGTTCTTCTTATTGGTTAGTATAGCATAAATATTTCTACTTTCTGGTCAGTTATCTATTGTGCATAATTATTATATGGGTAAGAAAAATTATCTTAAGTTCTAATTTAAATTCAAACTTTGATCTGAACTTGAAATAAATTAGGCAAGCATATCTGATAATGTAGCTCTTAGAAATGTTCACAGAGCACTGTCCTTCATTTAAAAAAAAGAAGAAGAAGAAGAAGAAGACTAGAATTAATGCCAATTGATTTTTCTGGAGAATCTCATAGTTAAGAGTAAGATTATTGAGTAATTTATTTAAAAAGTTGATGTGCTAACAAGTTCATTGTATATATCTCAGATTTGTATCATTATTGTTTTCTTATTGAAAGAAAAGTAACAAACTGATAAATCATATTTTTGTTTATCTTTAAAAGTACAGTGGATCTTATTTAAATATACATTCATAATTCCATTTCCCTTACTTTTTTTAGTTTAGATTGGAGAATCGTGGTCATATTTTGGCCATCACTTCTTTAAACATTGTTTCTGCTTCTTTCTGTCTCAGTGTCTACGACTCCGATTAAACACTGGTTGGACTTCTCTATATTGCTCCACATGTCTCAAGTTCTGTTTAATTTTCTTTTCTATGTTCTTCAGATTGCATAATTTCTGCTGATCTACCTTCATGTGGTTTTTTTTCCCCTTCTATCTTTAATCTATTCATGAGATCACCAAGTAAATTTTTTATTTAAAGAATAATAATTTTAAGGTATAAATTTTCTATCTATTTTATTTTTATAGTTTTCATTTCTCTGTTGATTTTTTTTTCTGTTTACTTGTTGATACCATATGTTTTTAATACTTTGTATACATTTTTTTAATTCTTTGAACATATTTATAATAGCTGTTTTGAAGTATTTTTGTTGTTGTTAATCCTCACCCTAGGGTATTTTTCCCATTGCTTTTTATAGAGTGGGAGAGGGGAGGGGGATGAAAAAGAGAGAGAGAGTGAGAGAGACATATCATTTGGTTGCCTCCTGCATGTGCCCTGGCTGGAGCCAGGTACATGCCCTTGCCTGGAATCAAACCTGCAAACCTTTCGGTGTGCGGGCTGACACTAACTACCAAGAACACCAGCCAGGGCTGAAGTCTTATTCTTTTAAATTCAACTTTTGAGCCCATTTGGAATCAGTTTCTTTGGAGTGTGTTTTCATTAGTCTGGTTCATATTCAGTAGTTTTTGGTTGAAACTTGTATATTATAAATAATAGCATTGTAATGATTCTGAATTTTATTATGTTATTCTGAAGATTACTAGGGTTTTTTTGTTTGTTTGTTTGTTTGTTTTAATGGGTAGTTAGCTTGCCTAGGCTTAAATTATTACTCATTTTAGTATATTATGCAGCCAATAATGTCTTTATCCAGTTTTTTCACTTTTCAATGTTGCTTTTTCAACCTGGTCACACAAGAATGATCCTTGGAATCACAAAGTTTACTCAATGGCCAAATATTTGTTCAAAATACACATTCAGATTTTGGGCTCACACTTTCTATAATCCTCAGCCTTCCTTCTGTTCTCTGACACCTCAAGTCAATAGACTTCAGCTTTTTATAGTACAAAATTATGCTCTCAGATTGGGAAAAACATACCTTTAAAAGGAGCAGTAAATTTTGCAAATCTCACATGCATAATAACCCTCTAAATTTTGTGGCTACAATAGATGAAGAATGATTTTTATAAAAGTCAAGAAGACTCTATTAAGAGTATCAACTTCAAAATAAGTCTCTTAGCCTATCTAACTGTACCTTAGGAAAACATAATCATTGCCCTACCTCCTATAGTTGTTTTAAGGAGAAAAAGTATAAAAACACCGGATTGTTTGTGGTATATGGTAGGATTCTGACTATATTATTTTTTTTTCTTTTTTTACAGAAGAGGATAAATATAATACTTACTCTCCTTTGCTCTTCAAGTATTTCCTGGCAGAAGGAATCGTCACTGGGCATACTTTGTTGGTCGCATCTGCAAAAGAAGACCCTGCTGACATATTACAGGTATAGATTAGATTGTATTCTATATATTCAACATTGCATCTTGAATATTTTATGAAAACGTATTGTGCGTGTGTGTGTGTGTGTGTGTGTGTGTGTGTGTATAATAATATGTTTGTACAATTGTAAATTATTTGTATATGCACTAATGGGACCCTACATGCATTTTTTTTTTCTTAAAAGAATCAAATTTATTTAAGCAGATAGTTTCCTCTTTTTGGAAGAATTGTTTATTGAGTTTGAGAGAAAAAACAGTGATGTGAAAGCAGAACATTGTTTGGTTGCCTCCTGTATCCCCCTTCCTGGAGATCAAGCCCGCCACCCACAAGTCATGGAATAAGTAGCAATTCATTTAAAATGAACCATATCATATTAAGTTAAAATTAAAATTCTATCTTAATAATATTGAAAGCATTCTTTTATATCCCAAAATATCAACCTTTTACTCAAATACTGAACTCAATTGTTAAGATCTTATTCATTGTACCACATATCTTTTGCTTTATTGGAGTCTTTGGTTATAAATGAGATCAGAGATACCAGTTGATTTAGAATTAGATGTATCAATATTATTTGATAAACAATGTAAAGTTTTAATTTCTATTAAAAAGGTTTCTTTTCCTTCTGTTAATTTGGTGTCAAGATTAAGTCTGTGCTTGCTCTTCATCTTCAATTTTCTGATCATGGAACAAAAATTAGAATCCTGAATCAGGGGAGTGGTCACTTGTTTGCTCTTAGTACATTAAAATACATTCTGGTCTTTCTGAGTAAATAGAATACAAAAATATCTCACATCTATCTTGCTTTTTGTGTTCTGCCAGAAATTGAAATAGCTGTAAGAATAAAGTTAAAGAAACACTCCTTGGTTGGCCAGATATATCTTTTAACTTTTTTGTTATTGTTATACTCACTTACAAAGTTATAATTTTAATACTTCATGTTAAAACAATAAAAAATAATTCTGGTCCTTCTACTTTGCAAGCTTTGTTGCATGTTCAATAACATAACACATTTCCCCATGCATTTTTACTCTTTTAGCCTGTATAATATTTCTTGTATTTCCTATCAAAATTATTTGTTACTATCTACCTTTTATCCACAGTATAAGAACAAATATTAGACAAGCCCTTTGAAGGCCGAGTTGTAATCAGTGTTATGTTCCCTTCATTTGTTTGTCAATAATTTATTTGTTCAGAAAATTATCAGAACATACACTTTTCAATGCTTATAAGTCTGAAGTGCTAGCTGAGTCGAAAATTTGCTGTTTGACCCGAGGGTTTCCCTCTTCCACCCGCCCTCACACCCCCATCCCCTTGCTACTCCTGAGATCTTATTTAAAATTCTAAATTCTCTTCTGGCAGCTTCAATTAGAGCTTCTTTGGCAATCTCAAAAGACTAAGAAGAAACATGCAAAGGCTCAATACTACTTCCAGTGACCTACATTTTTAGCCAGCTTTAAAAAGAGGGCATGTGCCTTATTTTCCAGCAGGAATGAAAGTTAAGATAAAAGTATAAAGGAAAATAAACTCAACTCTCTGTCACTAGCTTGTAAAAACCATCTCTGATATAACATTAAAATAAACACACATTTGTATTTGATGTTTGTGCATCAGCCAACAAAAAAAGGGGGGGGGGGGCTTTTGCATGCAGAAAGGTAACCTAAGTCATGTAGTAAAAATTCCATATTCTGTATATTTATCCTCAAGAAGGTGAAATATATGTGGGATCTGGGCTTAGAATTTAATTTCTCTGTTGTTGCTTAACTACTGGCAGGATCTTGTTCAAGTCACTTAACCTTTCATATTAAGATAGGGATAATACCCCAGCTACCTCATTCCAGAGTTCCAAATTTAAAATATTTGTAAGGTTTGCTTTCTAAATCTCACACATGCTTTCAAAAATTTTATTTCGAGCTCATAAAAAAATGAATTGCTGTACTTGATGGTTATTGTTATGTTCAAAAGAAATGTTAAAATCTTAGCACTATTATATAGCACTTTTTCATTCTTTGAAAATAAGCCACAAAGGCCAGAATTGGGAATATTAGAAGTAGAGTTCATTTTTCTTCTGAATACTTTTACAAAAAAAAAAAAAGAAAAAAAAAGTAATTACAAGAAAATATTCGATCCTTTTGGGAATGATACATGACTTGAAATTCTGAAAACCAGATCATTAGAAGTAAAAAGAAATAGTTTTTCATCAGCTCCCAAATTCATATATTATCCCCGTAAATGAGATATTAAAGGATACCATGAAAAGAAGAAGGCAGGACACCATCAAGGGTCATAGATTAAGCAGACAGTACAGAAGGATAACTTTACGGTGTGACAGCCCCAAAGAAGGCAGGGCCACTTCTCCAACTAGTGTTGGCATGATTCCTCAGTGGCCAGTCTTTCTTTCCTGAAATTTTCTGCAGTTGCAGAAAGTGGCCTTAGCTCACCACATCAATCTTTTAATATTCTGGAATAGTAATGAACTCAGAAGCATTTGAAATATGCTATATTTGTAAAATAGTCTTACTTCAATTCTGTTATTTATGTTTGTGTGTATCTAAAAAACGGTGCTAGGTTTTAGAAACAAGGTAGAGAGTATTAAACTGAAGATGAATTGGATATAGAAAATAAAGTTGAGACTATGAAGTGAAACTTCTTACCTTTATATTCTTAAAACAGATTACAATATACAGAGTGCTATAGAATTAAAGAAAATTGATTTTATGCTTTTATTCAGGACTCAATGAGCAGAAAGAATCAGTTTTGTTCTATTGACACCTAATGTTACTACAGGATGTAATATTTAAATTTAATAAAAATAAAGGGATATCCAATTCATATAGTATCACACAATACTCTAAGAATTTTTATTTGTGACATTTTCCATAAGCTGGATTTATTCTGGAAAAATAAAAGAATATGACATCAGACAAAATCAGTCGCTTGTGTATTCCTGAGCCAGGGGTTTAACTGATCAGGATCTCTTAAATGAAGATAAATGCCTAATTTGATTCCTAATTGAGATTTCTTTGACAGTAAATATTTCTGAAACATTAGAATATATATTTTCCAACAATGTAAAAATTTTATTACCTGAACTTAATATTTATTAGATTATTATCACTGTCCTAGTATAATTATATTTAGAAATATATTAGTTATATCAGGTTTTTATAAATTAATTTTTATTCAATAAAGTCAATTAATACTTAAAGGAATTTTGTAAGAATCCTATGCCAAGATAAGAATCCTTTTATAACTCAAATAATTATTGCATAACCTATTTATTTAGTATAGATTTTCATATATCTTATTTTGTTAAAAACCAGTTACTGAACACTCTTATACAGTAAACGTTTACTAAAGATCATTGCACATGATCTCACCAACCAAACCTGCTAATACCAGTGAATTTGTGGATAATTTAGTTTACTCAAAATATATGACTTTTTTTAATGTATGACTTTTAAAAATGTCTTTATGTAGCATCACCTATACCCGGATTTCCCTGTCATCTACATTTCCCAATGTTTTAACAATTTTAAGTCGCCTTTCCCCCATATACGTTTTTTCAAATTAAATTTATCTTTATTGTTGAAAGTATTGTAAATATCCCCTTTTTCCTCCCATTGACTCTCTTCCCTCCACTCCTGTCCCCTCCCCAGGCCTTCACCCCACTATTATCTGTGTCAATGAGTTACACATGTAAGTTTTTTGGTTGCTCTCTTCCCTCCCACTCTCCTTCCCTTGAGGATCCTCAGTCTGTTGCATGCTTCCATGTCTCTGGATCTGTTTTCTTTATCATTTTGTTTTGTTTATTAGATTCCACATATAAGTGAGATCATGACATACATTTTTAAATATTTAACTAGAGATGATGTGAAAGGCAGGCATACTTTTAATATATGATATATGGTTACTCATGTTGGATATTTGGTGTATAGTACTTTGTATTCACATTATGATAATCAATAATATCTTCGGATTTATGTATCTTTCAGAAAATAAATGGCCCTCCTCCTCCCCCCAAAAATACCTCAAAATCAACAAAGTAATATTCTTACTGACACAATATAATATACTTGCTGATTCATGTATAATGCTTAAGTAGTATTAATTATACAGTTACCAAAACCTGCAAGGATCAAAAGATTTTATTTTTAAGAAGGATTTCTCATGCTGCAGGGATTATGTTGCTACATAATAGCTCAGTAGTACTTCTGCTCAATTGTAAAATAGCTTAGAGAGGAGTGTGATGCCTATAGTTGGTATAATGCATTGGTAATTAAGAGGGTGGGAGGTTAGGCTTCATTAACTGCTGAGGAATTGTATCTTGGATTTTATTATGCCCTAGAGAACATAACAAGTGAGAAGGGTCAAACTGTTGGAATCAGATTTTGCTTGTGCATCTGCCAAAACAAAGATCACAAACTAATATAGCAGTAGGCAAAGAATGGCTTGAATTAAAAGAGAACAAATATATTTGTAGCGTCTTATGGATAAGGATAAATGTTTCTGATGAAAAATACATATGTACTTAAATACTGGGGTATATTTTGGTATTAGAAGTTTATAAGAATTTTATTTTCATATGGGTTTTTCTTAAAGTAGAATAAATAGTTCTTTTTGTCTGAAGGTAGGGCCAGTTGCTTTATTATGTTTTTTTAACCTGATTCAATTAATTAAAAGAGGTACAGAAATTTTATACTTCCAAACCTATTTTCTATATAGAATTTATGAAGCATGCTTTTTATTTTTTAATTCTTGATCCTTGCTATCCTATTTATGCAAACTGTAAGTACCACATTGCAGGAAATAACCAAAAATCTGATATTTTTTCTTTTAGAAAACAAGAATATGACAACAATAGAGTGTGTTATAAAGGGCTAGACAGTAAATACTTTTGGCTTCTCAGGCCATATGGTCTCTGTTACAACTACTCAGTTCTACTCTTGTATCACTAAGACAGCCATAAATAATTCATAAACAAATGGGCATGATTGTGGTCCAATAAAACTTTATTTACAAAAACAGGTAGCTAGCTGACTTTGACCTATAGGCTATAATATGCTGACTCCTTGAGTGCCCCAAAGCCATTAACTTTGTTGTTTTCTGAAAATTTGGTGTTATTCTTTCCCTATTGAATTGCCTTGGCACCAAGGTAACATTGCCTGGAATGCAGTTAGCTCACAATATGTGGTTTTACTTTTCCATGATTTTTATATTATTATTAGTAGTAGTATTATTATCATTATTATTTTAATTCTTTATTGTTTAAAGTATTACATATGTCTCCTTTTTCCACGCCATATTGTCTGTGTCCATTGATAATGTTTATATGCATGCATACAAGTCCTTTGGTTGATCTCTGCCCCCCACAACACAACACACATCTTTTCTTGCCTTTCCTCTGAGGTTTGACAGTCTATTTGATGCTTCTCTGTCTCTGGATCTATTTTAGTTAATCAGTGTACGTTGTTGATTATATTCCACAAATGAGTGAGATTATGTGTGTATTTATCTTTCTCCGACTGGCTTATTTTACATGCCATAATATTCTCCTTGTCCATCCATACTTTTGTGAATGGTAAGAGTTCTTTCTTTTTTTATAGCAGCATAGTATTCCATTGTGTAGATGTACCATAGTTTTCTAATCCACTCATCTGCTGATGGGCACTTAGGCGGTTTCCAAATCTTAACTATTATAAATTGTGCTGCTATGAACATATGGTTGCGTATATCCTTTCTGATTGGTGTTTCTGATTTCTTGGGATATATTTCTAGAAGTGGGATTACTGGATCAAATGAGAGTTCAATTTTTAATTTTTTTGAGGAAACTCCATACTGTCCACAGTGGCTGCTCCAGTCTGCATTTCCACAGGGGTTCCCTTTTCTCCACATCCTAGCTGCCAGCACTTGTCATTTGTTGATGATAGCCATTCTGATAGGTGTCAGATGGTATCTCATTGTTGTTTTGATTTGCATCTCTTGGATGATTAGTGACTTTGAGCATGTTTTCATATGTCTCTTGACCTTTTTATGAAATCAGGTATTTTTAACTCCTCTTAAGTTTTTTCTTTTGCAAATTTGGGAGTGGCAGCTCCAAGGAACTCTGATCACATTTGGGATCCTTACAAATCCAGGAAGGTCAATAGCCTTCTTTAATCTCATTCTTCCTTGTGTGTTCCCTTTAGTTTAAATTGTCAGTGTCTGTACCAGTGTAATTCCATCTCTATTCCTGGATTCTGCTGAGATGGCTGCTTTAATCCAAGTGTCACACCCATGATCTCCTTATCAAATGGTTGTTCAGCCATAACCTTACAGTTCCTTCAGAACAAGCTTTTTCATTTGTTGCAATATGGATAAGTTAAGATTTTCCAATTCAAGTTCTGTTTCCTTTTGGCTGGAATTCCTTTATTAATTCATTTCTCTCTTTTTGCATTTTACTCTAAGCACTTAGGAGGAACCATACCGCTCCTTCAAAACTTAGTTTACAAATCTCCTCAGCTAAAACCCAATTTCATCACTCCAAGCAGTACCTCCCACAAAACACCAGAACTCAAATCAGCACAGTTCTTTGCCACTTCATAACATTTTCCATAAAACGTTCCTTGCACTTTCCTCCTGTTTTCAATAATATGTTCCTCATTTTCATTTGAGACTTCACCAGAATCACCCTTAACTTCTCTAACTTCTAACTTGCATCTCAAAACTCTTCCAGCCCTTGGAATTATCCAATTCCAAAACCACTTTCATATTTTTAGCTATTTGTTACAGCAGTAGCCATTTTTTTGGGTACTAGAATCCCTCTCGGTCACCTTGAGCTGCCATAGCAAAATACCGTAGACTGGGTGACTTAAGGACAGATATATTTTCTCTCAATTCTAGAGGCTGGGATTAGCTAGTGGGATTTCTCTAAAAGCATTTTATCTTAATTTTTGTCAGTTTCCCCAGGGAGGAATCTTCTAATCTCCCAGTCTCCTGTAAGAAGGAGAGCTTCTGGCCTTGTGAGAGGTTAGCAGTGGGAGCCAGCTGTGTCTGTGTGTGAGAAGAGGAAGCTGCCTTGCCCTCTGCCTGAAGATTTCTGTGTTCTTTGTCTTACACATGATGTCTCACCCCTGCCCTCTGTAGTGCTCCGGCTTCCAGAGTTTGTACAACTTGACCTCTCCATTTCTCTTGCACAGTCAAGGAGGAGGAGATTCCTGACTCTCTGGGGGAAATGGACAGTATCGGGGTCTTATTGTTTCTTTTAAAGACTTTCAACAAATTTTCCTGTTTACACACAAGAGTGTTACTCCTTGCTTGCTGCAATTACTGCTTTGCTTTTCAGGTATGCCAGTTGTTGAGGTTTGTTAAAGTAAAGTGGTAGAAACTGGATTGTTTCACATTTTTCTCTCTTATTTTCTAGATGTTTATATATCTCAGAGAAAATAATTTGAGATGCAAAGGATACATTATAAACAATGTTTATTGTATTATTCTTGGACTGCAGACAACCTAATGGTTCAACAGTAGGAAACGATGAACTGAATGTTAATTAAGCTATATAAATCAATATGCAGCCATTGAAAAATCTTACTTTAAACAAAAAGGTAGAAATGCTCACAATATAATTTTAGAATTCAAATAGTATATGTTATAATATGCAAATAGTTAATATGCATTTTAAAAAATATATATGTAAAAATTAGAGGGAAGTAAAGATGTTCAGAGTTATTATTTCTGGTTAATAGGTTATCGTTTTCTTTTTTATATGTTTTTATATCACATGATCTCACTCCTATGTGGAAGCTAATTAACAAAATAAACTGATGAATAGAGTGGATCCAGAAACATGGAATCAGAACAGAATACAGAATCTTGGAGGGAGGACTAGGGAGGGTGAATGGGTGGGTGGAAGGGGATCAACCAAAGAACTTGTATGCATATATGCATACCACATGGACACAGACAATAGGGTAGTGATGGCCTCGGGTAGGGGCTGCCTTGAGGGAGTCAGTAGGGCAAAAAAGGAAACATATGTAATACTTTCAACAATAAAGATAAGAAGAAGGAACCTAGTGACTCCTACATCTTAATAGGCTTCATAATCACATTTCTAAACTTACTGGAGAATATGTTAATGTCCCTTGAAGCAAAGAATCATTGATCAGTTCAACAACTCTTTTACTTTTACTTTATTTTTGTTTTATAAATTAAAGTACAAAGTTATTAATAACATTTTATCATATCCTTCTTTTATGGAAGTATTTGTCTAACATATCTATGTATGCATACACATAAGTATATGCTGGTAACGTCATTAGTGAGGAAGAGGTTGGGTTTTTTAACTTTATTCTTTTGTCAGAGTTATTATTGTGTCCCTGGGAGGAAAAAAATGTTAACCCAAATATTTATATTATTAACTGGTATGTACAGTCAAAATGTATGGCTCTGAGTATTGGTTAAGACGATTATTTGATTGAATTCATATAATCGAACATTTCTTGAGTCCTTAATATATGGCATGCACCATTCTCTAAATTTTACATTTTTAATTCATTTTTTCCTTACAACAATGCATTGAAGTAAATACTCCCCCCTCCCATTCTTAGATAATAAATGGAGACATAGAGAAGTCCAGTAGGTGTTCAGCATAACTATTGACACAAAGCTATTAGTGCAAACAGTAAAGTCAAGATTTGGGTCCAAACAATCTTGTTGAAGAATTCAAACTCATAACCACTATGCCATATTATATTATACATCTTAGAAATATTTATTGCCATCGGAAAAAGAAGTTACTTTATATTTTGTAAAATAATAATAGTACTGTAGGTACAATGGATTCAGAGCTTACATGATATAACTGGTTTCTAATGCTGTCATAAATTAAAAATGTGAATCTAATTGGAGATCATTTAGGAACTATCATATATGATGCTGAATGCATTGTCCAGCTGATTAGTTGACTTGATTCTAAGATAAATACATCTGACCTTGAGAAGTAAAGGTTGAAATTTAGACTATTAGTGATACAGCACAAGATCGTGTTTACTAAGTCAGCCTCACATTATCTTTGCCATTCTGGCTAAGAAAAAATACAATTATTGCATGGCTTTCCTTCTCCAAGAAACTTATGTACTTTTTTCTTTCCATTATTTCTATAGTACCTTTTCACATGCACACACAAAAAAAATTGTTGTGTGTGTGTGTGTTTATTAAAAAAAATTGTTTTCATTATGTTTTCTGTAGTCACTCTGTAGGTCAGCTTCCAAAAAAAACAAGTAAAATTTGAATTCATTATCTCTTCATTTAAGCACAGATTTTAAACTCTCCTTTTATTTTTTAAAAGAAGAGACATAAGCTTGCAGGTGCAAAACTAATATTTGATATGGGCAAAATAAATGTCTTTATTCTTAGTTATTTTTTCACCCATTATTTCGGTGAATGAGTTTTTGAATTCTAGAATTACAAACCAGTAAACAGATTGCACACAAGCTTTATTTTTACCTTGTGTCAAACATAACAATAATTACATGTAATATAGTACATAAGTGCTAATTTGAGACTTTGCTTTAAGTGTATAAATTTAAAATATAAGCACAGCCTTTCGTTGCACCAGCAGTTGATTTTGGTTAGTATAAAAATTGGAATATTTTCTTAAAATTCCAGTTCATTGCTAAAAATATAAACTGCACATTTAATATTATATTTACCCCTTTTTGCTGTTTTAGCTTTATATTTGTTATGACTTTGTGCTTGAACCAATTTTAAGTCATCAAGTTTTAATACATTAGAAAATTCTAGTATTGCTAATATCATTATTTAAGAAAATTATCTCTCTTTTTTTTTTTTGCCACACATGCTCAATAATGTGTCATTCTGTTTTTTTAGGGACTTCCTGCACCGTTACTTGATGATAATTATAAAAAAGAACTTGGTGAAGATGTACATAATGATGAAACACCAGAATTTAACAGTAAGATGAAAATAGCTTGGCGTTATCAGCTGTTACCTAAGATGGAGGCAAGTCAGCATACAAACTATGCATTTCTAAAATTTGTAAATAAATTTATTTTCATTTTATGGAATCTCTTGTTGAACAACTGTTAAAATGCAATACAATATATACTTGTTTATTTAAATAACTAGATATATTTCATTTATAGCGTATTTGATCAAGATGACATATTTCTTAATAATAAAATTATAGCAAATTGTGTTTATTTTTTAAGCCAAAATAGATTATTTCACTTTTTCCATAGTCTCCATATGGAATCTTTTATTCTAGGGTTACAAGCCAGAGTAAGTGAACTAGCAAAGCCATTTATTATATATTTTTTTAATTTTTATTGAATTTATTGGGGTGACATTGGTTAATAAAATCATATTGGTTTCAGGTGTAAAATTCTGTAATTTATCATCTGTATATTTGTGTTCACCACTCAAAGTCAAATCTGCTTTCATTACCATTTATCACTTACTAGTATCCCCCCTTTCACCTCCCTATCAGCCCCTCCCCTCTGGTAATCATCATACAGTTGCCTGTGTCTGTGAGGTTTTTATAAAAGTTTGTCTCATTCCTCCTTCAGAGTGGTGCGCCTTCACTGTTTTGATTGTCTGTGGGAGTAAACATCTCAGAGATTACATATTAGCACATAAACCCAGTGCTCAGTTTTCAGGGTCTATAACCTGAGGCCTGAGGACCCTAAAAAAGTGTGCTTTTGCTCTAGCCTGTTTGCTCAGTGGATAGAGCATCAGCCTGCGGACTGAAGGGTCCTTGATTTGGTTCCAGGTTTGATTCCAGTCAAGGGCACATGCTTGGGTAGTGGGTTCTGTCTGATGTACAGGAGGCAGCCAATCAGTGATTTGCTCTCATTATTGATCATTATTGATATTTCTATTTCTTCCTCTCTGAAATCAATCATATATATATGAAATCAATCATATATATATTAATGTATATATATGATATATACTATTATATAATGTATATTATATATATATATATTAATGTGCTCTTCATACAGTGGTCTTTACCAGAGACTTATTCTCCCATTTTCTTCCAGACTCCCCAAATATCATTTAATCAGGAATTCCTTCCTTTGTCTTTACATGTAAAATAAAAACAAGCACGCTTCCCTCTCTCTCTCTCTCTCTCTCTCTCTCTCTCTCTTTCTCTCTCTCTCTCTCTCTCTCTCTCATCTCCTTTCACTGCTAAATTTTTCTTTAGGGCATCTGTAATAATAAAAGCATAATATGCTAATTATGCCAAACAGCCAACCTACCTTCAGGTTGTCATTCTAGACATCCTTGCGAACAAACCATGGTGGTGGAGGCTAAGGCAGAAGCAGTTAGGGGCGATCTGGCAGGCAGGAAGAGTGGCCAGGAGTGATGAGGGAGGCAGGTGAGTAGTTAGGGGCGATCAGACAGCCAGGTGAGCAGTTAGGGGCGATAAAGCAGGCAGGCAAGTGGTTAGGGGCAATTAGGCAAGCAGGCAGAGTAGTTAGGGGCAATGAAGTAGGCAGGCAGATTACAAGAGGGTGCAGGCCAGGCTGAGGGCCACCCCTCCTCCCCCACATGAATTTCATGCACTGGGCCTATATAATAAATACAGCCTCTACCTCTGCTACCAGAATGTGAGCTCACTGAGAAAAAGAGACCTTTGATTATTTTGTTTAACTGGCATACAGTAGGTGCTCAATAGTTACTGGCTGAATACATGAGTGAATGAGTTATATAGTATCTAAATTAAATGGGAAATTCCATTAAGTTGCATTAATTAATACAAATAAAACAACTGCTTATTTTGAATTTACAGTCAATGGTGAAACTTAAGTTTATATTTATACCTTAAGTTCTGTCAAGTTTAGAATATAGAAATAATCTTCTGGCTTCTTTGCATTTCTTTGAAATGTTACCAGCGTGTATATTTGCTTGTCACAGAAATTTTGTATGTGATGATTTGCCATGACTGATATTAGTGATCCCTTATCATATATATATATATATATATATATATATATATATATATATGAAGGGATATATATGATAAGGGATATGTGTGTGTGTGTGTGTGTGTGTGTGTGTGTGTGTGTGTATATATATACACCCTAATATGCCAAGTGTCCCCTCGGGAGTTTGACCAACCAGGAGTTCGATTGCTCACTATGATGTGCGCTGACCACTAGGGGGTAGAATAAAGGTAGCAGCTGGAGAAGGGAGGCCCCAGCCCATATCCGGTAGCGGCTAGAGATCCTACCGATGCACGAATTTTGTGCACTGGGTCTTTAGTCTACTATATAAGTCCAGTTCTTACTGTTCCATTTTCAGTTTAAAAAGAAAACCAGGATTTTCTGGATTTTGGTTGGGCAAAATATAGTTTAACACTAATATGAGTAAAAGATTAAACAAGTAGTCCAAAACTAGCTGTGTCAATTATCATATATGCTTTTTAATATAAATTGTCGTGAAGTCTCAAGAGTGTACTCATATTCCCATTTAGGGGATGCAAAAAAGGACAAGAATATGCACAACTAAATAACAATAGTTCAGTAAAGCATTAAGCAAGCACTTTCATGTAGAGGGTTGTGAATTTTAAAAAGTCCCACTTCTACCCTAGCTGGTTTGGCTCAGTGAATAGAGCATCGGCCGATGGGCTGAAGGGTCCAAGGTTCTGGTCATGGGCATGTCATAGCAAGCAGGCTAGATCTTCGGCTGGCAGGGGTTCGGTGTGGGAGGCAACTAGTCTCTCTCCCACCTCTTCTCCCTCCCTCCCACTTTCTCCCTAAAATCAATGGAAAAAATAGCCTCAGGTGAGGATTAACACAAAAATAAATAAAAATTAAAAAACCTCTTCCCTTGTCCTTTAATTTTGTCTCCTACATGCATATGTCTTCAAGCCCTATTCTCTCCTTACCCCAAGAATTGCTTGCCAACAGCATATTCTGAAACTTAATTTCTTCGCTGTTGTAGAACTCTACTGCAGAGGCCTAAAATGGCTCCAGCAATTTATGACCATATATTAGAGGTTTACTGTTTATGTTCAATCTTCATTACACTTTGTTTTTCTATCTTAGTGATTCAGCCACAACAGTCCTGTGATAGATGCATGTAGTGGATGACAACACATACGCTTTTTTTCAATAATGTAATGTAATTTACAAAGATAGTGATGAGTCTTCTGGTCACTAATGGATCATGACACAATAATAATAATATTGACATGATGCTTTACAACTTACAGAATATTCATTGCCAGTATTGCATTAGATTCTCATAACAGCCCAGTGAAATAGTTATTAGCTCTAATTCTGGTGCTTGAAGGGAGCCTCAAGATGGCTTAGTAGCCATTTGGATTCTTGCTTTATGTTATACTATACTGAGAAAGAAGAAATGGTAACATTCTTAAGAAAATGCCTCATTTAGATTGCTTATTTGTGGTGCAGCTTTCTCTGAAAGTTCATTTCTGATATACTTGAGGTGGGGAATTTAGCACAGTAAATTTTTACTGAATCATTACAATTTACTCTCTTCTACAGTTAACAAGTTAATGGGTAGTTTATGAATGTGCAATAGTTTTCATAATGTACACTAAAAATCTTATTAAATTGAGTAAACTGATTAGTTATTGATGATAGTTTGATTTTTTAAATGTATCTTTTTGTGTGTAGAGTTGAGATTTTTTTCATGGAATATTAATAATAATATTACTATATAAAATATATAACTAATTTAAAGCATTTAGTTATCTTTTTGAGAGGAAATATTCCAAGTCTTTGTTTTATAATTTTAGGCCTCAAAAGAGTTCATAGCATTTCAAAAATTTGATTGTATGTTAATGCTATGTCTCTTGGGTAGAAAAAAACTTTACAAAATTGTTGGGTTTTTTTTCTTGAAGAGTATATTTATTTTTCATTTTTTTATGGAAGGATTAAAGTTTTTCAACAGTAATAAAAATTTTAGTTTCTTTCTTCCTTGTGAATATTTTTGTTTTATGTCTAATCTTAATGTCTAAAAAAAAAAAGTAACAATTGTAATAAAAGCTTCTAAATTTTACATTTTAATGAATTATAAATGTTCTATATGTAAACTGTCACAGCATGAAATCAATTTTCTGCCTTGATTCAATCCAAATCTGAGATCTCTATCACATTAATATTATAATTAGAAACATTAATAGAGACCGGCAACTTAAAAAGCATATTTTGCTTCTTGACAATTTAGCATATTTCTCTGAGTTCACAGGACTTCAAGAACCTTCAGACCACTAATAAATTTATTAACTCAAACTTAAAAGAAGAGAAAAGTCTCTCTTTCTTTCTCTCTCCCCATGGCCAGGCTGCTAAAATAGATTATTCATGCTTATTTGATTCAGGTAGGCTTTTGCAAGCTTCCCTACTAGGCCTGGGAATGTGGTACATTGAGGCCTTTTCAGAGGCTTCTGACATAGACCAAGCTTTTATTGCATAGTGTTTTATTATTACCAAATCCTAGTCTCCACCCAGTTTGTAGGCACTCTGCTTATTCTTTTGAATCTGGAAAGGTTATCACCTACCTTAATCCATGCAGCAGTGTGGATTAAGGACACCAGTGTGCCCCAGGATTCTCAAAGAGGATCTTGGAAACTTCTTGTTTCTTCTTTTTTGCTGTCTTTACTAAATTCTATTGGGCCTTAGAGGGATTTGCATCTGAAATGGGCAACCTGGTGTTTTTATCAATGAAGACATCAGATCAAAGTTCAGTTAGTCAAGGCCTTTCTAAAACATTAAGGGGGCTTGGAATTACACAATAAAAAGATGAGCTCTAGCAGAGATTGCAGTAAAAACATTCTGAACTATAATCCGGATAAAGAATAGATTATAGGCCAAAGAACAGACCTTGTTTAAATTGCTTTAGACTAATAACTTTACATTTTAAAACTTTAAATCCTGTTTTTAAGAAACAAATTTTAACGTCATAATTTATTAGTCAGTACTTTCAAGGTAAATCTTTTGGGAACCTACTTCAGTATATTATATTGAAATATTGGATAAGGACAATTAATAGGTCTCCTTTATTAATGAAAATAAATAGTACCTTATGGAGAGATGAACAGTCATTTTATTTATAAAGTAAACACTAAACCCATAGGCTCTGAATCGAGAATAATGTTTCTATTAGGCTTAAAAACATTCTATTCTGTTACTATATAATTTAATGTTTGTAAGCATTTAGTTAAGGATATAAGTTATTAAAATCTTAAAAATGCAAATACCGAGAATCAAGCAAATGTCTATTTCTAATCTAAATTACGAAGTTATTAATTTCTTAGTAAAATAATTTAAGAACGTATTGTGTATTAGCTTTCAACTACCGAGTTTGTTGAATGTTCTGAAACTTGTCTGTTTTGTAGCATTCAGGACAGTTGAAATTATGTAAATTTAGATCAGAGATTTCATTAGAAACTATTGCTATATGAAACTGTTAGTAGTTCAACTTTGGATAGAGGTGTAAATATTTCTAATGTGCTGAGTGAAAGAAATCAGCCCAAAATTCATCCAAAGCAATAATGTTATAATACTAGGATTTTACTCTCCTATGTAAATAAGTTCAGCATCAGTAGATTTTCTTAAGAAATATAATAATTTGTTGAAGAAATTGTTAGTAGAGGGCACAAAAGAGGAATTGTCAATTAACTAATGATTATGGCAGATTCCTGATTTACTTTAGTTTATATATACTTTCTGAGCTTTTTCCCCATCTGGAGCACCCTGGCACATTTTATACTATATGCTTAACATTAAACTTGTAAGCAAAGTTGAATACATATACACATTGTCTCGTGAGAATGTAGTTTTAAAATGATGCTCAATTTAATGTACTTCAATAACTTTTGGACCCCTCACTATGAATTAATTTGGCTTAAGTTTTCATCAGTTGTCATTAAAACCTGAAATTTGAACAAAAATGATTGAGACTTACGTATATTAAATTTTTGAATTTAGGAAGGTATAAGGAAGGTATAATGAAGAGTAAAAAAAAAAGCTAAGGAGGTTTTAAATTTGTATCAATTTTAGGGAACCTCCAGGAGTAAAGAAACATGGGAGATGAAAAGGCTACTTTCTAACTATATAGTTTAAAATAATAAAGATTATTGTATTTGTTTCTTTGAAATTTAATGCCAATGTATACCAGCTTTTTCTTGTACATATTAAAATGCCATAACTATATTAGCATTTTGCTAAGTGTAGGACAAAATAAATAGTAATTTTTTAAACTTTTTTATCAATAAATATGAATTTTCTTAATAGGCTGAACCAGTATCATCTTCAAAATTTGGTCACTATTATGATGTATCAAAAAAAATACCACGAGAACTAATAGAGGCTTCAAAATGGCATGGATTTTTTCTTCCAGAAAAAATACCTTCAACTCTTAATGAAGAATCCTGGTAAGTTAATGACCTAATTTTGATTTCAAAGGTTAATAGAATGCATATATTGCCACATTCTTTGAAAGAATGCATGTCAAAAGTATATATCCTAATATTAAACATTAGTTTCTATATAATATATAACCTTAATTGTGTATATGTTTCATATTATTTGGTATAGTTTTCTTCTTTTTCCAGTCGTGTAACTCTTGGACATGCTATTCTTAATTGCAACTTAAAACGTCTGGGCACCAAATTTATAATACCTGCTATTTTTATTTTCAAGAAAATGTGAAATAGTTCTAAATCAGGTTATTTCAGTGTTAAATGCAAACTGTGCTCTTTCAGAAAGTAAATAAGTACCTGTTTTCCAATATTTTATTTATTATGATTTTCTATTTCTAGTAATGCTATAAATAAAACAATCTGGTTTTTAAGTGACTTAAAGAACGTAGGATTTGAGTTTTACAGTGAAGAGTTGTAGATAGTAAACCAATACATCTTTATGTTATAATGCTACTAAGTTTAAGGCAGAACCCTGAAAATTACAATATTTGACATTGAATAATTTATAAAGAAAAATAATATTTTATTTTATCTCTATTACAATTGGATCAAGGAAGGATAATCCATCGAATCTGTGCCGTACTGTTAAACCATTATTTTCAACGTGAAATGAGTTATTAAATGGAGATTTAATAGACAGGAAGTTGTAAACTGAAATGACTTAAAAATTATAGTCTCCTTTCCAGAAATATCATGTAAGAATTTAGTGAAGATTATAATTTATAATCAAAAAGAAATTCTTTACTTCATTTGGTGTCCCTATTTATTCTATGGTCACAGACTTACCCAAAGTGGTGCTTTGATGTCACCTTAAGGTTAATAGCTACTGTAAATGAATGACTGCTCTGTGTCAATCACTATAGAGTGTGCTGCACCTGTGTTATCTAACCTGTGAAAGTAAATATGCCCATTTCCAAAACAAGATACCAAATTCACAGAAAAGACTTATCTGAGGCTCAACTTCGAAGTGCTAGAGCCAGGATTAACCTAAGTCAAAAGATCTCTTTTCCTTTTTGCTTTACTGTTTCAAAAGTCTTCCTTGTCTCCTTCACCTTTACCTCTGTGTTATGAAGGAAAGAGTGCTAACAGAACTTTTTCAAAATCTGGGTCTTGTTCTACTGTTAACCCTGGGCAAATTTCTTAGACTCAATGAAAATAAATATCTTTCTATGAAAAATAGAAGTGGGGGGAATACCACTTGTCCTACCTGCATCACTAATTTTTTTATTAATGATTTGAATGATTATATTGATTTTTACTAGTGCCCAATTTTTGCCATTCACTGAACCATATAAAAATATATACATGCTTAGGAAATAGGTCAATATAACTTTTCCATGATTTCATATATAGAAAATGGTTGAATCCGGACTCAAAATCAGTTCTTTCTGACTCAGAAATCTTTGATAGCAATAATGCTATTCTGCCTCCATTCACAGAGGGAAATAAAAAGTATAAAATGTACACTAAGTATGATGTAAGTACATAAAAAATAAAATGGTGATACTTTGTAATTTAAAAATATATGTATGATAAAACTTACTTTAAGCTAGAAAAGACAGGGTTTTACTCATTAATTCTACAACTAAAGAGGAGGAATTTACATTTGTCAAAAACCTGCTTCGTGTCAGGCATTGTACCAGGCATTTGATCATAGGCTGTCTAAATCTCTCAACAATCCCCAGGTAATATCCCAATTTCATAGGAAACTTGAGGTTAGAGACACTAAGTAGCTTTCCCAGGACTCTGTAAATGACCAAGCTGGCACCCAAATCCAGGTCTGCTGAACCTCTGCTCTTTTCTGCACAGACTACATCTGTTTACTGGGTGCCTGAAAAACAACATCTAGGTCGGCTGTGAGAGTACAGTCTCCTGTAGTCTTTAAAATATGATTTTCAGACTGTTTTTGAGAACTAACAGTTTTGTGTACAGAATAGGAAAATTTATAGATTTTAATTATCAAGGCAGTATTTCATTTCATAGTAGTTAATTGATAATTCATTTATTTCATATCAAACCTAAATGCTTAATTAAATATAATTAAACTTGCAACATGTAATTAAATTAATTTTGAAAAATGGGTACTTTACCATGTGAGATTTATTTTAATTTATGAAAAGCATGTGCTCATTTCACTAAAATGAACTTTATGGGTTCATTTATAAAATAATAAACCTTAGCATTACAGTTGTCTATACTTTTCCTATAATTACAACTAGAGAATATAGTTGTATCCTACTGTCATGTGTGAAGATATGACATATAATTTCATAATATCTAAAAAGACTGTTGAAACGTGGTTATTTTTTTACAGTAAGAAAAGCTAAAGATCATTTAAAATTTCCATTAACTAATTTAAAGTTAGTGGTAGATTTTTTTCTGTAGAAAATGTTCATACATGCAATTTAAACTTTCACATTAAAACATGAATATAAAAGCCTGAAATGTATCACCATAATATTATCCAGGTGATTTTTGTTTTTTTATTTTATTGTCATAAATCAGATATTCTTAATTACAAAACAATGAGAGGAAAATGAATTTTGAGAATAATTTTATAGTGTAAGTTTTTTTTTTTAGTCTGATATTGTTTTTAATTAAGCTTTACTAACAAATATACCCAAACACACTTCTGTTCATTATAAGAAAGATTTCCTGTTGTTCAGCATATGGATGCTTTCTCAACTTTCTTATTTATTAATGAATCTAGCAACGTACCCTTAACCTACTGCTTCAGACTGAATGTTTGTGAACCCCAAATTCATATGTGGAAGCCCTAATCCTCAGTGTAGATAATTATGACTATACTGGGTCATGAGGATGGACCTCAGGTCTGACAGGATTGGTGTCCTTAAGCAAGATCCAGAGACACTGAGCTCCCAAGCTCTTCTTGGGTGCACATCCAGAAAAAGCCATGTGACCACACAGTGAGGAGGTGGCCATCTGCTACTGAAGGGGAAAACTCTCATCAGACACCAATCCTGCTGGCACCTTGATCTTGGGCTTCTAGTCTCCAGAACTGTATCATAATTCCTATTATGTTAGTCACCCACTTTGTAGTAATTTGTTATGGAAGACCAAGCTGACTAATACACCTTCTATATTGTAAACTGTAACTTTTTTTTATTATAGATATGTCAGGTCTTGAATATTGAGTTCATATACTATTGGTAGTAAATAGAATAAATTTGTCTGATACGTTTCTTTGAAATTCCAAATTTTATTTTGATATATATGTCTTAATATAATAATAACTAATATTTTTTGTATTAGCTAAAAGTTTTGTATTGATTAAGTTGGATTAACTGAATTCTGAGCCTACCAGCTATCTTTACAGGAGAAAATCAGTGGAAAGAGGCTAGGTATAATACTTAAGATTTTAGAAGTCATTCCACTTTTCCTCTCCTGCCAAGTCTCCTTACCAGCTTAAATAGAACCTTGATGTAAGCCTTTTGTAATATTTTCCTAGGGAAATTATAATTATGCACCCCCTGCTATCCTGCTTAACTTCTGTTCTTACTTCTGTCCGAACACATCACATTGCACTGTAATTATTTGTCTTATCTACATCTTCATCTTCCCCCTCAAGCCCTGGAAATCCTTGAGGAAACAGTATGCTTTCTTTATCTATTTATTCCCTAAATCTGGGGCACAAATGTTGATAGTTGGTGAATTAGTGGACCAATGCACAAAGTATGGTAATAACTCAGATTAACTATAGCCTTGCTTTTAATATAAAGATTTAGTTGGATAAAACCAATAACTAAAATATAGCCCAATGTAGGGTGTGTAGGAGGCAGCTAATCTATGATTCTCATCTTTGATATTTCTCACTTTCTCTCCCTCTCTGAAATCAATAAAAATATATTTAAAAATAAGTAAATAAAATAAAATAAAAACACTTATAAAAAATCTAAACATGAACTTGGGTTGACTTCCCTTTCTCATGACTGAACGTTCCATCAAAAGGGTGGTTGTAAACCAAGTAAGGCCACCAGGGTAACCTTTCATCTTGGTCTAAATCAACTCACCTAGTGAGAAGTCATGGGGCTGGAGTGGACCTTGGTTCTGTGTATCTCTAACAGCCTTCCATTGAGGTTCCTTGTCTAGGATAGCCATGGCAGAGCTGACCAAGGGCCCAACCCCACTGCAGGTCGCATCCCTTAAAGGGAAGCGGAGGCCCCACGTTAGCAGTGCCACCTTCCCCTGAGGACTTGAACAGGCCTTGTTATCCTGAACCTCATTTTGACCAATAAAGAGAAATTACCTGCTTCCGTGTTTGCCTTTCTGTCTTTTAAGGGTCTTCAGGTACACAGAATTTAGTTGATCATTCTAGCATAGTGGCATGCTGTCTTCATAGGTATGCTTGGTTTTTATTTTATTTCCCATCTCATTCTCACGTTCCTAATCCCAGTCATCTTCCCCATAGGCATACTCTCTATGTATATCCTTTCAAATTTCTGTTCTTCAATAAAGTAATCTTTAACCCTTAGGTTCTCTCTTTCTTCTTCCCTCTCTTTCTCCCTCCCCATCTAATCTATCATTAAACCTATCAGCTATATCTTCAATATATCCAGAGCCTGATCACTTCTGATCACTTCTTACAAACGTCACCTCCTACCATGCTAACCTGTCACCCACATTTCTTTTCAGAACTCTTAGAGCCCAGCCTGCGAAGCTCAGTGGTTGAGCATCAACCTGTGAACCTGGAGGTCACGATTCGATTCTGGTCAGGGCATGTGCTGGAGTTGCAGGCTCGAACCCCAGTGGGGGATGTGCAGAAGGCATCTGATCAATGATTATCTCTCATCATTGATGTTTCTCTCTCTCTCCCTCTCCCTTCCTCTTTGAAATTGATTTAAAAAAATAATAATAATTAAAAAAAGAACTCTTGGAATAGCTTCCTCTTATTAATTGTGTTTTTTGCTCCTTGGTGGCTCCTGTCACACAGGTTATTGAGCATAACCATTCTCAATGGTTTCCTGTCACACATCGGATTGTTTAGCCTACACATGCAATTAAGCATAAGAAAGAAAAATAATAAATGATAACCTTCAGGGTGATAGTAATGGGATTTTTAACTTGAAAATTACTTGTAAATAGACTTCACAGTCTTTATAGTCACATGCACAGTATATGCTAATATAATTGTAGTTATTTTATACAGTTAAGACATTTGATATTGTGCCTATGACAGTAGTCATAGGTGAATACCTGAAATATATGTGTAAATAGATTTTTGTTAATACAAATCATTTTTTCTCAATGATTTGGATAATAATTTCAAAAATGCTTCATCTTCACTTTAAGTTAATCTTAATTGGTAGGTATAATAGTTTTTCTTCATTAATTTTTTCTATCAAGCAGTTAAATCATTATTTAGATGCAACAGATGTTCTAATTTTTTAAAGCATAGCAATAAGTCATTTTAATGAGAAAAAATATTTCTAAAAAAGAGAAATGTCACTCTTGGTCCATATAATTTTAAGTCAAAATGGACAGCAGAGATTATCTAATGCAACTCCTTAAATTTAACAGATAAGAAAAGTTTGAAGCCCAGACTGAAAAATTAAAAACTTTGCCACATATAACAGATTTAGCTAGAGTTGTTGCTAGAGATCATACTAGAACCCATTGGGCTATTCTGGTATTTAGTTTATACATTTGTAAATCTACACTTTTTAATATTGCCAAGTTAATATGAGTGAATGTCTATACAACTAAGAGGACTATCTTCCTAAATCCACACACTTTATTATTTTATTTGATTATGTTTAATGGAGCCATGTTCAAACCTCATCTCAGCCACATGTTTATTTGATCCCACAGACTTTTCATTGAATCTGGATCTCACTCGGAGGCTTTATCTTAGTTTAGCCAAAGTGCAAATAGCTTCCAGTTTTAGAAAACTTGAGTCTTAAGTGTCACTTAATTGTTGTACAGCCTTGGGCAAATCACTTAGCTTCTAATGGGTCTTATTTTCTCAGCCATAAAATGGAGCTAATGACTGTACTAACTTCTCAAGGTTATTCTAATGATCAGGTGTTGTGACAGTGATGCAAACAGTTTAGGTATTTATTATGTACCAGACATTTTATCAGCTGATAACATTAAAATTAAATCCGTGGTCTTATTATAAACAAACTGAGCTTGTTAAGCTGAATAAACATTTCACTCAGTTAATTTTACATATACATAATTTTATCTTTGTCTATATTTCTCATACTTGCAGTGGATTCACCCTCCTCGCCAATAATATTTGTTCCCCTGGCTAGATTGACAAGCAAGTACCTTCCCTACATCATTCCAACTTCACTGCACATGTACTTCTTTTCCCCTTCATTGGGCCTCTTCTCCCAGTGATTTGCAAGGAATGGACCCATGGTTTCCTGGGGAGTGTAAAGGTGCAGCTTCCTGGTGAAGCTGCCCAGATGACCATGCTTATAATGCCTGGCCTTCCCTTTGCTTTCTTCCTATTATTAAGATTAATAACTTCCTATTATTAATATTAATAACATTTATTCTTTGATCACATTAAGACTTGTAAGCATTCCTTTCTTCATTGTTTGAGAAACAAATGTAATTATCTACTTGATTTCTTTTCTAGATAATACTATAGCTAATTTATTTTCTTACAGCAGATATTATCTCATAACTAGAGGCCCAGTGCATGAAAATTCATGCACTGGAGAGGGGTTCCTGAGCCTGGCTTGCCCCCTCTCATAGTCTGGGAGTTCTCAGGGCTGGGAGGTGACCTGGAGATCAGGGAAGGTGATGCCCCATCACACCTCTGCTGCTGCTACTGCTGGCAGCACAAGCTTGGGCCTGCCCTGATTACCTGAGCCTTAGGCAAGCCCTGGGTGGCTGGACAGCCGCCATTCGGGGCTTGCCTGTGCCTCAGGCTAGCCCTGGGTGGCTGGGAGGCTGAGAGGATTGGGCGTTACCATCTTGTGGTTATGGGCGCTGCCATCTTTGAGGGCATGTCAATCAATTAGCATATTCCCTCATTGGTTACAGGTGCTGCCAAATTTGAGGGCGGGGCAGTCAATTAGCATATTCCCTTCTAATTGGCTGTGGGTGCCATTATCTTTGCAATGGTGTGAGGATCAATTAGCATATTCCTTCTTTATTAGGGTAACGAAATTACTTTTTACAAGAAAACCAATGCTATTAGTTGATATAAATTAAAGATCTCTGATATAGAATGTCCCTTAGACTTCTTGCTGATATGGATAGGCACACAATTTTTTTTTATCTACTTTTTAAAACTGTTAAACTTGGTCAACAGTATGTACATTTACATTTGTATCATAGTGTTCTATTTTCCATTTTGTATATTAATATAAAGAAATAAATTCCTGTCAGACAACATGACATGGTAGTATCAGCAGATACATGAATAATGTACATGTAATTTTTTAACTAAAAAAAATTTGAATGCTTGATATGAAAAAATAAAAATTAAATTTCTAATAATTTTTATACTCATTGTACTCTTATAGTTGTAAAGATATTGTGATATCTTAAGATAGACCATTCACTATAAAACTTGTTGAAAATTATGAACCATATAAAGTACCATACATAATTTGAAATGTAGTGGCTTTGGAGCATATCATAAATACTTTGATAGTCTAATCTTTGTTGAGGGTTTGGAAACATAAGGAAGCCAGATTTATATTTATAATTGGGGTTCCTTCTTGCTAGTTCCTTCTTTATAAGTTATTAGACTGTTGAACAACCACAACAAAAGGCATTGTTCTCAAAATTAATGCATTTAATAAAAAATAAACTTAGATGACAATAGAAGATAATTATTTTCAGCCAAAAAATATATTATTATAAATATTTCTGACACAGAAATGTATCTCATAGAGATTAACAATACTTAGTGTTTTATGTCAATTCCATATAAACTGGTTCAGTTTTAAATGCTATAATTTTATGTATGCAAGAATGAATATCCTCAATTAGTATACCTAAATGTATTGATTTTCCAAATTTTATTTTGTTACCAGTATTTATATTCCTAGAAATTTAATGAGCTTGGAGAAATTTGTTTTACTTATCAAGTTCTAAGTATTGTTGATATGATTATTTATATCTGTGTTAAATAAGGGAAAAGGTTGTGATATATTGACTTTATGTCCATTTTTGTTCTTATATCAAAAGAAACCCCCTTTACTTTTGAAGAGATTCTTAGATCTACCAATAGCTATCATAACAGACTGTAAGAATGTAAAATAAATAACATATCATGTCTGGATAAGTGATGGCAACTAAATAAATTAAGAAATAATTTATGTATGTGGTATTGATAATGTACCTTCAGGTAGCAAATTTACTACCAAGTGCTTAAGCAGATTTTATTAATGAACAATTTTGGGCAAAGAGGAAATGCTTCAAAAAGTTTTCACATATATGAAGTAATAATTTTCTTCGGTAGATTTATAATTGGTAGGTTAGGATGCACTGGGTATATTCTTGATCCATACTCCTTTAACCCATAGTGACAGTCATCAAATGGTTGGCTGGAATTCATTTCATAATCTGGGGCCTTGGAGCAGATTTTACCCCCTGTGCAAAGCTAATTGACCCAGATAAGAATTAAATCTGCTGTGTTCAGAAAGTAGAGCTAGCCAGGACAAATATATAAGATATGAAATAATCACATCATTGCCCTGTGGAATATCATTTTTATAGACACATTTTCTCACTCATGGAAGTAGAAAAATGTGTTCATGTAATTTGTTGTATTTTCACTGCAAATGGAGAAATAGCAGTATGAGAAATAATTATATCACCACATCCTTCAGTTGGAGTCATAGTTGTTTTGCAAAGAATAGGGTTATTTTCTCTTGGTTTTCTTTTTTGTTTTTGTTAGGTAGGTACTTTGGGGTAGATGTGATATTCAATATAGTGTTTCCAAAGATGTGCATATATTTTTGCTGGGCCACTGGCCATTGGTTTGGGACACTATGCATTCTGCTATATTTACTAACTTATATTCTTTAATGTTGCATGTTGCTTCAAATTAAGTTTCATCCTTTTTTTAGGGCTTTTCCTCTGCCTTTGTGATCGCTTCATTTAGGATCACAGTAAAGCAGATACTTTTATATTTTAAGGTCACCCATAGCTTCTACAACATTAGGCACTTCTATGTTTAGGAACTAGCTGTGCTCTAGGACTCGTTACCATGACATTTAATGTTCACCCATAGCACACAGGTTGTCCGTTATGAACAATCTTAAATTCAGTTAATGTTAAAGTAGATTTTCTTCGTTCTTATTAAATTTTCTTTGAAATGTTTTATCACATTTGTAAAGTATTTTAAAATAGTGACATTAGGGCTAATATTCATGTGGAAAATAATTTTGTTTCGGTCTTCTTATATTTATACATTTATTTTGTCTTTTTTACAAATGAAATGGAGTTTTTATTTACTTTTCTTAATTCAGGTTTTGAAATAACATTATTTTAGCAGTTTGTTGTAAGAAAATTAAAACTTTGATGGAAGATAAGCTTAGGCGATCAGCACATTGATTCAGGAATACTTGACATAGCAGTTCATTAACTATGTGTTAATTATCTATGATTACTCCTGAAAAGCTATAGTGGCTTCATTTTTTAGGCTGCTTCATTAAATCATTAATTTTCTTCGAGGTAACTAAGCCTGACATAATTAAGTCATTTTAGTCTCCACAGATTTTTATCTTCCCAGGATGTCAAGAACACTGAGCTAGTTAATATAAGGCATTGTATCTTGTTCCTTGGATGTATTGACTATATTTCTTATAATATTTATACTATTTTGGCTCATTTTTAAATTATATTTTTAAAAATCTCATGAATGTATATATTTTCATTATGTACTTACTGTTTTAGCTTATATTTTTTTATTTCCTGTATAATAAAACCCACTTATGTATTTAAACCACTTCTTACCAACAGTTCTTTGACCCCTGGCTACTTAAAGCTGCTTCAGTTTATTCAGAAAACCATTTACGAGGAAGGATTTGATGGATCCAATCCCCAGGTATGAGTACTTTCAAACCCTTTTATAATCATGGATATAATGTTGATTTGAAGCTTTCTAGCGCTACACCCAGAATAATCAACAGTAAACAAGCTGTTTCCAAGCACAGAAGATGTAAATAAGCAGAGCATAGCAGCCTTAGTTTGACTAGTGAAGTGTATTCAGAGTCTTAGCTGTGTTCTCAGTGAATGCACATAAGATGTACACATTCACTGTCAACATGAATTATTGTAAAATATGTCTTTATAACACCTGGGATTAATAGGTAGCCACATATTTGAAAATTATTCTTAAATCTACAAGACTTGTACTTTCCCATCTAAATTTTTATATTTTTTCAATCAGGCCTTAATTTTGAATTACCTTATCAGTAAGAGTTCATTATTTTATGATTTTATGTTTACTATAGAATGCTTCGGATTGTATCAGTGAATAAAAAAGCTGTATTACTTGCTGTAATAAAGTATTTTATAACTATTTTTCTGTAGCTCCCTTTTTAAAAAAATTTCTCTGAATTACCAATATTAAAGATGTTCCAGTTAATTTAACTTAAACAAAATAAGGGAAATTTTATTTCTACACACTGTGCCACTCTGAATTCTTCCTCAGTGATTTTAATTGCTATAGCTGCTAAAAGATTTGCATTTCATTTATATTATTTTAGCAGAATTATTTCCCAAGAGCCATTATTTTTATTAAAGAAGACAAAGAAGCCAAGAGTCTTACTTGTGGCATTATCAACTACATTTGCTCTTAACTCATGGATTTAAAAAATATTATTATTGACCTGACTACTATATTTAACACTGTCCAAGGAAAAAGAAATAATTTTTAAAATTTGTCTTAATCACCAGTTTAATAGCAGGTTGAAAATAGTGTGTGTGTGTGTGTGTGTGTGTGTTGTGAAGCACATTCAGATGGCTTTCCATGTATGTTACAATTTTTGTGGTGGTCCTTGGTATTTACTACAATTTTGTTATGCTCATTATTGCTCCATGTTTGGTCCTAGTTAAGATTTATGGGCACCATGTCTTCACTTTGGTGGCAGTGCCTGTCTGAAGAGGTAAATTGGTCTCTGACAGACACCTCTCTCCACTTGCTGTGGTAACTATGGAAACAGGCATGTCATAACAGTTCCTGCGGTACAGTGTGCAGAGCTGCTGCTCTTGTAGGATGATGACACATCTTCTAAGAGCAAGACATTCTTTTTTTCAAATCAAATGTAATAGCAAAAAAATAGATACTTACATGTAAATGTACACACACACATCTATTCAGACAACCATTAATAAGAAAGCTGTTATTGGAATGGAATGAAAGGTTTGTTTTCTTGGTTGTTATTTCAATGTGAAACAACACCATTTTCAATAAACAATATTTTATTTCATAAATGTTGATAGTTGCTGTATTCATTTTCTGAACCAGAGATTCTGTAACTATTGACTTTCATAAAGATGAATGGGGTTGAGGTAGACATTTCTATGGTGAATATTAAGAATCCTAAAAAAATTTTTAACTAAATAAAAATATACCAATAAGTCATTTAAAAATATATTTCTAACTTTATTGGAATGAAAATATAGTTAAAGCCGAAACCGGTTTGGCTCAATGGATAGAGCGTCGGCTTGGGGACTGGAGGACCCGGGTTCGATTCCGGTCAAGGGCATGTACCTTGGTTGCGGGCATATCCCCAGTAGGGGGTGTGCAAGAGGCAGCTGGTCGATGACTCTCTCTCATCGATGTTTCTAACTCTCTATCTCTCTCCCTTCCTCTCTGTACAAAATCAAATAAAAATATATTTAAAAAAAAAAAAAAAAAAAAAAAGAAAATATAGTTAAAGAATTTTCATATTTTTAAGTTATGAATTGTATCATTTGCTAAATTCACAAGTCTATACATCTGTCTCAGAAACTTTAGGTGAGTTCGGGAAGTCACAATAGTGCATCTATCAGTCACTACTTAAAAAATATTATTCCTGAATCAAAATAATATTTTGATACTGAAATAAATCCTGCTTTTTAAAGAAGTTTTCATCTTATGTTTTTTATTATTCCATTTTCAACTAAACTAGTTGGAGGCAGCATATAGAAACAGACTCTAAGAAGCATAATATTATATACTATTAAATAGCTTACCTGTAAAGCAAGAGGTATCCTATTAGTTAACAAAACTTAATGTGTTTACCTCCCTTCCACTTTTCTTTAGAAAAAACAGAAAAACATTTTACGAATAGGAATCCAGAGTCTTGGTTCACCTTTGTGGGGAGATGACGTCTGCTGTTCAGAAAACTGTGACAACAGTCATAGCCTTACAAAATTCCTCTACGTTCTCCGTGGCCTTCTGCGCACCTCTCTCTCAGCCTGCATCATCACCGTGCCAACACATTTCATCCAGGTATGAACTTTTCAAAACCACTTTCCCCTAATTAGTGGTGCATGGTAAAGAGTAAAATGTAATTGCTTTAGGAGTCTGATAAATTATTTCCACATGTCCTTCAGTAATTTTTTTCTTTGCTTTCATGTGAACTTGCTGGACAATTGTGATGTGAGGTTGATTTTGATTTTTTTAATTAATCATGAACTGATCTCAACATAGGTCTTGAAGAAATATTTGTAGACCTATATGAATAGCAGCATTAACTAAAATGTGGAAGCAAAATGTATTCATCAACACATGAGCAAAATGTATCTTATATTTCAATGAAATATTATTCACCCTTAAAAGGGAAGGAAATTCTGACAGATGCTACAATGTTTATTTTAAATAAAATTAGTCTGTCACAAGAAGATACTGTGGTTCCATTAATATGAGATAGTTAAAATAGTCAAAATCATAAACAGAATGTAATATGGTGGCTGGACTGTAGGGATGTGGGAGTGGGATCTTATTACTTAAAGCAGTTTTCCCAAAGTGTGGTACGCGCACCCACAGGGGTACGGGAAGAGTTTGGTGGGGGTACACATTGCACCGGAGTTTGGTGGGGATACGCACTGCACCATGCTTAGCTGTGCCTTAATTTTATGCTCTCATGAGTACAAGGGGTACTCAGCGTTACAAAAATGTCAAATGTTTGGGAAACACTGACTTAAAGGATACAGAGTTTTTGCCTGGCCATTGTGGTTCAGTGGTTGAGCATCGACCTATGAACCGAGGTTCCAGTTGGATTGCTGGTCAGGGTACAGGCCTAGGTTGCATCCCCAGTGGGAGGTGTGCAGGAGGGAACCTATCAGTGATTCTCTCTCATCTTTGATGTTTCCATCTCTGTCTCCCTCTCTTCCTCTCTAAAATAAAAAGATAAAAATAAATATTTTTTAATAAATAAAAGATACAGAGTTTCAGTTTTACAAGGTGAAGATGGTGGTGATGGCAGAACATTATGAACATAATACCAATGAACAGCATACTTAAAAATGGATAAGATGCTAAATTTTATGTTATTTTTTTCTAATGCACATACTAAAACACTTTAATTCAAAATGACTTAGTTTTATAACAGAAGTTTTTAAGTTTTGCTTTATTTCTCTAGGAAATAGCAAAAATAACAATAATGATAGCATCTCAAGATATTGAAATATCATTCCTTAGTCATTTGAAAAGTATTTCACCGAGTTATACAGATCTTCCAAATAGTTACACATTTTATTATATAATATCAGACAATCACATTGGTTATTATCATTACCATCCACAATGTTATATGTGTTGTAAGATTATTTTTATCATTATTTTTCTATTGTAAGAATATGCTACAAATTCTTTATCTTTTCACTTATTGAAGGACATTTGAGTTATTTTGAGATTGATGCTATTATGAAGCAGCTGTGCTTGAACTTAACTTACTATTATGAGTTTAAAATCACACAAATATAATAGGGAAACTCCTTTCTCTAATCATGTTAGACATTGTACACACACTTACATTGTTTGAATTATTAATGATGTTAAGTCATGATAAAGTTAATGCTTTAATAATAGTTTGGTCAGATGTAATGAGCCTCTTGATTATGATGATGAATGATCCTGGAACAGATCTGTCAGATACTGGTGAAAATAGTACAACTCATGGCACTACTACAACTATGCAGTTGCTACAAATATTTATTAGGTACATACTACATGTCAAGAACTATACAAGTATTATGTACTTGAATCTTCATCAGCCCTTAACCTCTTTTTTTTACAAGGCAACACAGTTAATAAGTGGCAAGCCAGTCATGTCCTGACTCATGTCTTAGAATCTCTGACACCAAACTCTACCCTCTTCACTGTTAAGTTATATGGCTTCCCTAAGCATCACAAAATCTCTGCAAGATAGGTGCAATGCCAATTGCAAAGATTAAACTGAAGTGATTCTCCAAAGCCACACCTCTATTACATTTTAAAGCTAGTATCCAATTCAGATCTGCTTAACACTTTCTTCTCTGTCACACTACATCCTATGTATCTTGAATTATTAACTACCTGTGATAGCAGTAACTTTCCATTAGGAAAAATATGTTCTAGGGTAACATTGCTATTCTGTTTTGTTTTGTTTTAACACTCACCCAATGATATTTTTCAATTGATTTTTAGAAAGAGTAGAAGAGAGAGGGAAAGACAGAAATATAGATGTGAGAGAAACACGTTGATTAGTTACCTCCTGCTAGAGCTCTGACCAGGGGCTGGGCAGAGGAGGAGCCTGAAACTGATGTAAGTGCCCTTGAATGGAATCAAACCTGGACCCTTCAGTCTGCAGACAGATACTCTGTCCATGGAGCCAAATAGGCTAGGGTTTATTCAGTATTTTTAAAGAAAAAAAAAAAAACTATCATTGTAAAATCTTTAACAAATTAGTACAATGTGAAAGATTAAACAAAGAGTTACATTCTAGGCAAGGAAGGGGAAAAAAAGATGGAAGCTTATTTCCTAACAATTGCAAGAAAAGAAAAACATATGAAATAAATATGTGTACCGGTAGTTTTTTATGTATTCCAAAGGGACCTATGCAAAGCAAGGGAAAAGAAAGAAACATTTTTCAAAAGCCATTGTAGGGGTGATCATCTTTATTACTTAGAAAAGAGACCCCCAAACTCATTGTGAATGTTTGTGACGTGCCTCCTTTAGCCCCAATGTAAGGGACCAGCAGTAATGTGATCAAACTACAGATCCGGAGCACAAAATCCGTGCAAGAGGCTCAGCACTTGCAGCCACGGCAGCTTGCCTCCACCCTCACAGCCGTGGCAGTTTGCCATGGCCCTCACAGCCCCAGCTTCATTCGAAAGGTTGTCTGGAAGGACATCCAGAAGGTCGTTCGGCTTTCTGATCTAATTATTATATTACACTTTTATTATTATAGATGGCCTCAAGTCATCCTATCTCATCACTGATTGAAAGATTGAGATGATAAGGTGGACTGCATGCCTGCATATCAATATTCAAATTTTGGAAATTTATAGATGTTTAAATTCTTGTATAACTATAAGAGATATAGTTTAAATTTTTGCTTTTGAAAATACCAGTAAAGAGACTACTTTGAAATGAAAATAGAAAAACATAGGGTCAGTCTTTGATGACTGCCACTTCCCTCGACAATTTTTCCTATTATAATATAGTAGTATTCTGACCCTAACATCAATTGAGCTGTAAAAAAAATTAATAATTTCTTTACTCTTTCAATATGTCACCTAACCATATATTTGATTTTTATTCAAACTAGTAGCCCTGCTCATGAATATGTGTGCCAATAGCTCTCGGCAAGGCCTGCCCCCCCATGCCTGCTGCCCAGAGGCTCATCCATGGCCGGGCACAGAACACTTGCCTTGTCACTGTGGCGAGGAAGCAAGCATTCCGCCAGGCCACTTACGCAGCGAGCTCTCAGTGGCTGCTCCCCAGGAATGGGGGACTCCAGCAGAGTTGAGAAGACTAGGTACCGCCATCTTGTGGCTGTGGGTGCCACCATCTTTGTGATGGAGTGACAGTTAATTTGCATATTACTCTTTTATTAGATAGGACTAGGGACTCAATGCTTAAATCCATGCACCTTGAAAGGAACTGTGGGCTGCAAGGCTCCACTGAGCACATGAATGGGTCTCAGCTCATCTTCTGCACCCCCACTCGGACCCTCCCACTGAGGCCCCTGGTCCCCTGTCTGCCAGCAACCCTGCTCCCGCTGCCATCATTCCCATGCTCTGATAGTACCAGCCCCTCTCACACCTGCTAACAGCGCTGAGGGATCGGGACCAGTGCTGGGTGTAGGCAGCGGGTGTGAGTGGCAGCTCCAGTGCCAGCTGTAGGTGTGAGTGGGGCTGGCACCAGCAGTGGGTGCAAGTAGAGGGTGGGACCATGGCACGTAAGAGCAAAGAATTTTCAGTAACCGCCAGAGGCTCGCCCCGATGACAGCTACCAGTGCCCCATGTTGGTCTGGTAACCCTGCTCACCTGCTCCATCAACTCACCATGGAGATGCATGCCATGTTCCATGCTCTGCCACCTGCTGCCCACTCTCACCATGTTCAGCAAGTAGACTGAACAGCAGAACAGCCGAACAACCCATCACTATGATGTGTGCTGACCACCAAGGGTGATAACATCATAGTGATGGGTTGTTCGGTTGTTCTGCTATTCAGTCTATTTGCATATTAGCTTTTTATTGTTTAGGATATTTAGAAAAATATATAAAATTTAATAGTTTTCTTAGACCAGTTATGATATAAATAGGGGATAACATGAACTCCGAAAGACTGGTAAGGAAAATCACAACATTTAAGTTAAAGAAAGAGACTCAGAAGCAGTATGTCTACACTACTTTTAAAATCATACAGCAACTTTATCTCCACTGTAACCAGTGCCATCCCTGCAAACTCCAAGTCAGGTTTAAATGGTGGCTAAGGGAATTTAGCTTATTCATTCATCAAATAATTTATTGCAGGCACTGTTCTAGGCACCTATAGGGTTATAGTATGAACAAAACAAGCAAAGTCGCTATCCTGTGGAGCTTTTTCAACACTGTAAAAGATGGCATGGATGGAGCAAAAGATTAGTATATATAGTATAGGTATTTGCACACTTGAGCTTAGAATTTGATAGTAAGGTGGTTTCTGTCAGAAAATAGAAATGCAATTTGATATCCTTGGAAATTTTGTCATATAATTAAAAACCTATACATAATAGAATTGTGATACTTTTATTTGAATATGTTACACAGAGTAACACCAGCTTTAAAGTTATATATAATAGTTATATCTCTTAGACTGGTAAAACAGCCAATCAGTGTTCTTTAGTTATTAGCATTCTGTCAGGCTTGTACAGTAATGATTAGTTACCCTTTATTGTACTTTTGGCATGCTTCCCATGTTTAATTTTATTGTAGGAAAGGAACACATAGTTAAGGAAATTACAAAGAGGACAAAAAGTTAA